GCATTCTATAACACAATCATCTCAACAGCTCTATACTACCAAGCACTCTATAACACAATCATCTCAACAGCTCAATACTACCAAGCACTCTATAACAAAACCATCTCAACAGTTCTATACTACCAAGCACTCTATAACACAATCATCTCAACAGCTCTATACTACCAAGCACTCTATAACACAATCATCTCAACAGCTCTATACTACCAAGCACTCTATAACACAATTATCTCAACAGCTCTATAATACCAAGCACTCTATAACACAATCATCTTACCAGCTCTTTTTTACCAGTGCCAGATTTAGGAAAGGACAGACAAACAAACAAAATTAGAACTACATCTTCACATTCACAGGCTATAAACTCTGGTGGAAATTCTGGTTTCTCAAAAATATCTGTACTTTAGTCTTGTTCCAGAACTTGAGTTTTGTGTGGCCATTCATTTGATAGATCTGACTTATTTGTATACAAACTGTTTGTTCCTTAACCTTTCTTTGTTAACAAAACAACAACCTTAACAGACAATACAGTTTGTACTCACATGACAACTGACTTTGAATACTTGAGAGAGAATTGATAGCTCCTTTGTCTCTGGGTGTTTCTGAACACTGTATGACAATGAAAATACTCAGGTCTAAATCTCAAGTGAAACTGAGAAATAAAAGCCTAAAAATATTGAAAAAGTCCTTTATTCAAATGAAGGGACCAGTCAATAAATGCAGTACCATAACTACCTCCATAAAACAGTAGTGTTTTGGGGCAAGTTTAACTCTTTCTAAACTTACCTACTCACCGTCATGATCAGTTATTTTCTACTAATTATATAATAAAACAGACTGTTATTTATTTTTCGTCTTTTAGTTGTAAATTGTTGTTACTTTAAACTTGAAAAATTGTATATCTTAGTCCTTACTTCAACTCTCCTTAAGCTGGGAAACATAAATCCATTATCAATGGTGAATATTTTCTAAATAAAATCCACTCTCAAATGGACAGAATGAATGACAGTTCCCCCGCCCCCCCTTCCCCGGAAGCTCTCTGAAGGTTTTACAACTCTGTGACTCAAAGAGCCACATCCTAGATTGTCAAGACAAATTCCAGATACCACATTCAGTCTTGCAAAAAGGTATAAGACATCCTTAATATCTACATAAAGTACTATTATGCATACTTTGCTATCCAAGGCAGTTAGATGACTATGAAATACCCTCAAATCAGAAATTCACTCAAAATAAAACCCCTCTGTAAATGAGGAAAACGTTTAAGAAACAAGTCTTTCTTTAAGAATAGATGAAACGCAGATGCTCTATCAGTAAGCTAGTAATCTTTGAGTCAACCACACTGTATACAGTAATGACATATTTGCCTACAAACCTGATGAGATCTTTATAAATAGCCTTGGTGATGTCCAGATATGGCTGGACATTGTCTTCATACTGACACAGTTGACCACCCAGGCACAGATGACTAAACAAGAGGAACACAAACTCACTCCTCTCTCCTTCACTGAATTCACAATAAACATCTGAGTCTTCATTCAGCAGCATCTGTCAAGGATACACCAACAATTACTGAATTAATAAACAAAACTAGACTGAATCTGGAATGTTTACTGGCAGCAGAAAAACAGTCAGATTCGTCAAACAGTCTTAAAGATTCCAACAGACACAACATTCTTAAAGATTCCAACATGGGTAGGGGTTTGGGGGGTGGCAGGTGGGGGTGGGGTCGGGGTGGCAGGTGGGTGTGTGTGAGGAGTTTCAAAGGGGGAGGGGTGGGGGGGTTGGGGTCAAGCAATTTTGAAACTGGGTTCATTTGTATTTGTAATTAACAGGATTTTCAGCTTTGACATTCATGAAAACAAATCAGCACTGCCAGCTTGACATGGAGAGTGATCCTCCAGATATCTTCAAGACAACATAGGGTCAACCATCACATTGATATTTGGACACTAAATTTGATACTTTGAATTATGTGCATGTTTTTCGCCAAGTTCTTGTTAACAGTAAGTGGGATTTTTCTTTTTGTCCTCCTCTTTCAGATCTCATTTTGTTATGCTCGGGTGGGGTGGGGGTTATTGTCATATATTCAAAGAAGGGGGAGGGGGAAGGGGCGCCACCTGAAAAAAGGTTACAGACCACTGATCTAGCAGGTCCATTGCAGAATGTTGCTCGTATTATGTGCCCCTGAAAAGACTCTGGCTCTTGCATACCCCTGCAACATAGATCTTCATGCCGCTTCTGGCTCTTGCTTACCCCTGCAACATAGATCTTTGTGCCCCCTTCTGACTCTTGCTTACCCCTGTAACATAGATCTTCATGTCCCTTCTGTCTCTTGCACACCCCTGCAACATAGATCTTCATGCCCCTTCTGTCTCTCGCTTACCCCTGCAACATAGATCTTTATGCCCTCTTCTGTCTCTTGCTTACCCCTACAACATAGAAATTCATGCCCCTTCTGTCTCTTGCTTACCCCTGTAATATAGATCTTCATGCCCCTTCTGTCTCTTGCTTATCCCTACAACATAGAACTTCATGTCCCTTCTGTCTCTTGCTTACCCCTGTAACATAGAACTTCATGCCCCTTCTGGCTCTTGCTTACCCCTGCAACATGGAACTTCATGCCCCTTCTGTCTTTTGCTTACCCCTACAACACAAAACTTCATACCCCTTCTGTCTCTTGCTTACCCCTACAACATAGAAATTCATGCCCCTTCTGTCTCTTGCTTACCCCTTGTTACAAGATACTGGGTTCACATTACCGGGGGAAGTTAGTCAGTTGAACTTCTCATGTCCTAGTCCGCTGGGCAGACACAAACGGTTTCAACATCAAGCTAGGAGGTCAGATGTGCTTTAGAAACCAGGATGGGAGCATCAATCCTGATACAATTTTTAACTGTTATCCACTGGGACATGAGAAGTCAATTATTTAACTGTTATTCACTGGGAAATGAGAAGTCAATTATTTAACTGTTATTCACTGGGAAATGAGAAGTCAATTATTTAACTGTTATTCACTGGGAAATGAGAAGTCAATTATTTAACTGTTATCCACTGGGACATGAGAAGTCAATTATTTAACTGTTATCCACTGGGACATGAGAAGTCAATTATTTAACTGTTATTCACTGGGAAATGAGAAGTCAATTATTTAGCTGTTATCCACTGGGACAGGAGAAGTCAATTTTTAACTGTTTTCTGGGACAGGAGAAGTCAATTATTTAACTGTTATCTGGGACAAGAGAAGTCAATTATTTTACTGTTATCTGGGACAGGAGAAGTCAATTATTTAACTGTTATCCACTGGGACATGAGAAGTCAATTATTTAACCATTATCCACTGGGACATGAGAAGTCAATTAATTTAATAAGACAAATATTTAAAAAAAATTTTTTAACACTTTTCTGTGCACTTAAGTAAAACCATTACAAACAGACAATCATCATCATCATCAGGTGCCTTGCCGACTGGCGTGGGCGATCATGACTTACAATAATCTACGATCTCTTGCAGCATGTATCAATTCATGGGCCGACACACCTCCATGCCATGCAACAAGACTGTTAAGAATCTTTTCTCGTTGTGTCCTCTATCCTTCCTTCCACAGATCTTTCCAGTGGTCACAACATGTTCTATTTTCCTTCTTCTCAAAACATGGCTGAAAAATGATGTCTCCTTCCGATGTCTGTGATAAGTTGTCTTTGGGCTCCCGCCTCTTTCAAAACCTCTTGGTTGCTCTTTTTTGGCTGTCCAAGGTATTCTAAGCATTCCTCTGAAAAACCACACCTCTGAGGCCCCAATAAATTGTTTGGCCTGCCTTCTGATTGTCCAGGATTCACAGCCACATGTTAAAACTGGATGTATGTAGCAAGCAAAACAGACAATACCAACAAATATTAGAAGTATTTGAAAATGCCATAATCAAACAATTAAACTAACCACTTTCAACTGAATACTTCCCAGACAGCCGGCGTAATGCTGACCACATTACCCACAGAGTGCTGATGGTCTGTAAAAATATGGGACGCTCTGCCCATATGCCCGATACGCCTAAAGGCGTAAAAAGGGATCTTTACTTTTTTTACTTTTACTTCCCTGCCTGCCTGGGTCCGGGGACCCCATTATGGTATATCATACAAGGCAACTAGTTAGAGGTCTGCTGAAATTGGATGTGTAGGCTAAAAGCTGCTGATATTGCAGCCTAGCTGTAAACCACATAATATTGTGCTAACCCATCTTTTATAGGCGATCAAAGAAGAACTGAATACTAAGTAAAGATAAACAGAGACTTTAAGATTAAAGGTTCTGAGCACTTTTTTTTTTTAATTACTTAGTAAAATATTTTTAGAAAGAGGAAATTGTCAGAAAGGACCAAGGTTGACTAATAAATACTTTATTATTGTAATAACTAAAACAGCACATTAAAAATAAACAACGATTGCCAATGGCAACGTTTGTCAAACAGCACTGATCTGACTTACCTGGCGAAGATTATCACTGATGGTAAACTCCTCTTTAAACTCATCGAAACATTTTCGGACATCCCCAGACTCGTTGGCAATATTCCCATCCATTATTTTGTCGAAGAAAGCCATTGAGAGAATAGTGCAAGGAACACTTGTAACCACAACTCTCTTGGCTTTAGTACCTGGGTATTCAAGTATTCAACATGTTAAATGTTAGAACTTTAGATTTTAATCCACCCCCCCCCCCTTTTCGCGGCCCCTCCCCCCCCCCCCCCCCCCACCCACCACTTTTGTCTCTTTTCTTGTCTACTTCAATTCAAATACTATTATGGTACTGGAATAAGTTCTTGTAGGCACATCATATATTGCTGTGGATATTTTTTTTTTTTCTCACTGCACTGCTGCTGCTGTTGTTGGCACTTTTCCATCTTACCAGATGATAGTGTTATAGAGTGGTGCTACAGAGTGGTGCTCATTCAATGAGCTTAAAGGAGAACAGAGAACACTGAGGACATAAAAATAAATGAGACAGGGGATTTTGCAAGAGACTTCAAGGTTTTCAGGCAGCCTGTGATGGGAACTCTTCTCATTATTCTTTTTCTTCTTCTTCTTTAACTGTAAATTCCAGCTGAATGTTCTTGTTGTTCATCCACTTCTAGACTTTGATCTTGTTCCAGAAATTGAGTTTATCCTGCACATCCATTTTACAGATCTGGCTTATTTGTGTGCATACTGTTGGTTCCTCATCTATCAGGCAGATGCACTATAACTTCAAAGGAATTGCCCCTAATTAGTCACCTTTGATGACATCTTTGGTGCTCTGGAACCCACATGGGATGTGATGGAAGCAAAGTTCTGCTACAAGATTGATGGGAAAATATACACAATTTAATCTTAAATTTGCTCTGACATCCCCCTTCTTTTACCACATATTTTCTTCTCTACATCACAATGGTGACCAACATAAACAATGAGAACAATAGAAAGTCAATACCAAGAACGGCTGTCTGTCCCTGGTTTGAATCAGTCTCTAGTTTGGAAACAACATTTGGATCCCTGAAGAAGTCCTGAAATATCAGAAGTATAATGACATTCACTTTCCACAAAATGTGTTGGAGGCAACAACTGTTTAAAATTACACATAATGCATCAAGACACTGTTTACTTCATTGTCATTTTGTAACATTGTGTACATGCAGAAGTAAAACTGTGACATACAAAGAATAGGCCGGTCACATATATAATCGAGAATAAGCCAAATTATCAGATATATATGAAGGAAAGTGATTAAGTAAGTCACAAATGGTTGATTACAACAACAACAAAAACAAAAGAAGATAACAACTTGAAAACCATTTATTTTTACACATACTTTATTTGTCAACTTAATTTCCACTAAAATTGATGCACTTGTCCTATTGTTTTATCAGTCTTTCTAAACCTGCTGCATAGAACTGCGTGATCTGTTTTCCAAACCACATTTTCACTTCACATTCAACTTCTGCATCATTCAGAAATTTTTCCCGCCAAGGTGGGTTTTCAGTGGACCAAAAAGGTTGAAATTGCTAGGGGCTGTAAGGTGGATGTTCCAGAAGTTCCCACCCTAGATGGTTTATTTTCTTCTGAGTTAATGGAGCCATTTGTGGTCGGGCATTGCCATGAAGGAGCAGTACTCCTCTAGTCAGCAGGCCTGGACATTTTCTTTGAATTGCATCACAAAGCATCGATAGAACTTTACATAATGAATCAGCATTCATATTGTCACCTCTTTTTTTTTTTTAAATTAGTTAAAAGCACTCCTTGACAATCCCAGAACATTGTCAGCATAACTTTCCCTGCTGATGGCGTAATGAATGATGTTTCTACTGCACTGATGCATGCTCTGATTCGGGCTGATATTGATGCACCCATGATTCATCCCCCTTAATAATCCTGTTGAGCATTTTTTTCTTCATATGCATATGTTGTTGTTATTGTTGTTATTGATCCAGCGGTGCATGAGCTTTCGCCCAATGCCATGTAGTGGAATTTACATGAATTCACAAGCTGTTCTTTTCCTCCGTACAAGGTGACAGGTCTCGGAGGGAGTAGCATTCTTCTAGTCTTGTTCAGTTTTAGGCACTCAAAGAGATGATGGTCAACAGTTTCGTAGGGGTAGTTACATAGCTGGCACTCTGGGGAGTGTTGTGGCTGTATTCTGATTAGGTGTCCATTGAGTGGAGTATGTTGTGTTCTGAGTCTGAAGATTGTGGCCTGGTCCCTTTTTGTCAAATGGTTAATGCTGTCATTAGGATCAGGTCTAGCCATGTGTCTATAAACCTCTTTTCCAGTATCTCCCATGGCCCATCTGTTCAGCCAAGTCTCTTTGTTTATAGCTTTTATAAGTGTTTTTGCTGTCTGTTGGGTTGTCGCTGTAGGTGGTTGTTCTTGTGCAGCTCTTTTCTTTGCCAGTCTGTCAGCTCTGTCATTACCTGGTGTGCCGGAGTGGCCTGGAATCCACTACATCCCTATTCTGATGTTGTATAAGGTAATGAGCTGATCAGCATCTAGAATTATCTTACTATGTCAGTTATGCAGCGTTCACTGCCCTCCAGAGCTTGAAGAGCAGACATTGAATAGGTAAAGATGACAATATTTTGGGCCTTTGAAGGATAAACATCCATTACAGTCTTTACGTGGTATACTGCTGATTCCAGTGCGATTATTTCAGCTTCATAATTTGAGCAGAATTTCCCGCATGCATCAAATATCTCTTCAATAGATCTATCAGGGTAACCTATGTAGATTCTGTGTCCTGCTTTAATGGTGGCTTTGAATGCAGATCCATCAGTATAAACATGTATCCATTCTTCGGAGTAAGAATCAATAGTCTTTAGTAATAAGTTCATAAGGGTGATTGGATCGGACTGTTTAGTTTCTTTGTCTACCAATTTCAACCTGACTTCTGGAGCTTTAAAGCGAGCATGTGGTGGTAAGTTTCTTGCAACATTCTGAGTGCCCTGACGTCTTTCTGGGAGGTGGTATTTGTCCTGTACCTCATGTACACAGTGTAAAACCGATTTGTGCTTTATTCTTTGTTTGTATTCCCAACTTTCTCTAAGGTGTCTATTAGGATGGTTACGATTCTTTCTAATACATCTTTCACAAATTTCTATAGTGGCTTTTTCTCTCCGCAACCCAAGGGGTTCCACATTTGTATGGATTTCACATGCAGCAGTTGGAGTAGACCGCATAGCTCCGCTGATTAATCGGAGGGCATTATTTTGTACTCTGTCAAGAGACTCTAGGTTTGTCTTAGAGCAGGTTACAAGCAGCGAGTTGTTATACGCTATCACAGAGCGAACATATCCGAGATACAAGCCCCTCAGAGTTTCCTTGTCTGATCCCCAAGCTGTACTTGCAATGTTTTCAATATGACTCTAGAGGCTCAGCTGCTGGTCAAGTGTGACTCCAAGATATGTAGGGTGCTCTTCTTTCATCACTTGGTGCTTGTCTAACCTTGGGTTAATATTCTTCCTTGCTAATTCCAGTCTTCTAGGGTCTCCATTAAGTCTTTGGGCTCCGCTTTCTAATTTTTCATGACTCTGCCATATTGCTAGATCATCAGCGTACAAGGCTTGTTCGGCCTTGATTTGTTCTGGCAAGTCATTGATAAAGATTAGAAACAGTGTACAGCTCAATGATGAGCCTTGTGGCAAGTCCTCCTCCATGACTTCTTTAGATGGGATTGCGACCACTACCCACAACACTTACACTTCTTACCCCCTGCCTCTCCAGGCTCAGCCCTTTACCTGCATATCGACAGAGATGCTGCAAGGACTGCCCTAATCGGTTTATTTTCTGTTTGTCCGTCAACTGTCTGGGTACCCACCTTGAGCACACTCTCTGAAATATCAGTCGATCATGCATTATGTTGTATGTTGAACCATGTAAGCACCCTACTGCATCTGTAACAGAATCAACCATTACTTGTCTGTCACCTTTAATCATCTCCTCCCCCCGCTGTATGGATGCATCGATTGCAATCTCAACAGGACGACAAGATTGGACTTCATCAAAAAATTTTAGGTATCCTGGAGAAAAATTTGTTTACCCATCTATGTACCGCTTTAAGGGTTAAACATTTGTCAGCATAAACAGGAAGCATTTCCTTATGAATGTCCTTTGCAGGCAGTCCTTTTGCCAACACACACACACAAAAATGCACAACAGCAGGGTACACTCCGTAAGTACAGTCGCCATTTTGTTTCTGTTTTGCAAATGTGGATGCAACACTTAGTGCCACCTAATGAGCGGAGACATAAAGTTTGATGTTGCTGTCACCTAATGATACCTGTAACAAAAACAGGGACAACTGTCACAAATATAGACAAACTTGTCCCATAAACAGGGACAACTGTCACAAATATAAGACAAACTTGTCCCATAAACAGGCACAACTGGTCATATATAACACATGTCAGAGAGTTTGATCATTCATTTGTTTTTAATACACACAAAATATGTCAGTTTGCTATTTCAGCAAACGGCTGTGAATATTGTCTAATTCAGCCTGTGCAAATCATTTTCCACAAAGATTTTCCTATTTAAGTGAGGAGCTGTGAAACATTGTCTGTACTGACTTTCAATAATTCACCTTGGTTTCAATAATGAGGGTCTAACATGTATCCATAAACATAACAAATAGAACATGACAGTCTGAAACATTGCTGGTGTACAATATATGTATACACAGATAAGAGACTTACCAAGGCAAATTTATCTTTCTCATAAGCTTGAAATCCCTGGTCAAATGTGAATATTTTTGCCTTTATTCTATCTTTTAAAGACCTGGAAATTTAACATTTGAAAAATATTTACAAGTGTTTAATTTTGACAGTTTTGTAAATTGTTCACACATGTAAAGAGTGTATTCACATCAAACCTGTCTCCGGCTTTATCATAAATATATGAAAGGTATCTATGCAGCTGTGGCACAATTTTAAAAAGCAGCTTTTAGGATGCAAATAAGCAACATGATTGTCAGAAGTTGTTGTAGGCATTCATACACACACACCTGACAGAAGCAAGCAAACAGGGTTGTCAGAACAACTTGCTGTTGGCATTATCTCACTCTCTCTCTCTCTCTCTCTCTCTCTCTCTCTCTCTTCCCCTCCCCCCCCCCCCCTTCCCCAATCCCTTACTGCTTTTCGATTTAGCTACTTTAATTCTTCCCCACCTGCTATTATATACACTTCACATGCATATCATGTATAACCATTGGGAAGGTTTAACATGATCACATCTCAAATTTAAAGATTTTTTAAAGTAAGTTGTGTATCCTTCACAGGAAGTTACACACCAACCCCATATTTTTTAACTGTTTTAGTTTTACAAGGTAGTTTTTACATTCAGTGGTTTGCCATTGCCTACTGAAGATTCGGCACTCTATATGACTGTGGAAATCAATGTAAAGCTGAGCTGTATTATTTGAACTACAAAACATAAACTAAGCATCCCTGAGTCACAGCCCTGAGAGGGGACGGGGAGCTATGTTGGGCAACACTGCCTCTTGGGAGTGCTGTAGTATTTGGGGGTGGGGTGTTTGGAGCTCTCTAGACCCGTTCTGCATATATTGGCGCTACTACAGTTGAGGTGTTGGTAGCTTCGTCAGACAATTTGTGGGGCGGTAACTTAAGGATAATACTTAAACATACGGTAGCGGTAGAGAAGAGACTAAATAGAGGATGGAAAATATGCCCATTTTCTTGACTACCCGGTGCAAAGCCGGGCATTCATTATACCTCTTTTTGTATTGTAAAACGTTGAAAAAATTAATCACTAAAACTGTAGAGCTTTATCTTTTCATGTAAGACATGCGTATCGCTACAAACACACCATTTTAAGTAGTATTCCTTATAATCTTTGCCTTCAAGAGAGACAAATGTCTTCGTCAGAGGTAAAAACGAAAATTTAGCAACGGTTTCGGCCATTTTCAAACAATCCAGGATATTTATGGAAAGGAGATCACTCTAACATTTGTTACACACAAATGTTCCTGCTTTATCTCCCTTCCCTAATAAAAATGTAGGTAAGTTGTACCCCACCAGGACATTAAACAAGCGATAAACACCAAGTGACACAAAGGGCCACCATAAGGATGAGAATAACACATGGAGAGGTCCCGGAAACCCCGTTCAACCGTTAGGCCATATTTAAGACCAGGTTATATTTAGGGCCCCTGACAAAAGTCAGGCTGGGGCTTCAAAATAACCAAAAAATTACATCCCACATGGAGGAAAAATATTGATGGCATTTCAGTCGTAGAGGTTGTGTGTGTCATTAAGTGCAATATCACTTTTTTAGGATGACATTTTTCGTTATTTGAAACCCTACTCTGGCTATTGCCAGGGGCCGCAATATAGCTCGGCCATAAATATGGCATAATGGCTGAACGCGGTTTCTGGGACCTCTCCATGGTGATCCTCATCCGCATGGTGGCACATTGTGTCATCGGGTGTTTATCGCTTGTGTGATGTCCTGGTGGGGTAGAAAGTCAGTCAGTCAGTCAGACATCGGGTGTTTATCGCTTGTGTGATGTCCTGGTGGGGTAGAAAGTCAGTCAGTCAGTCAGACATCGGGTGTTTATCGCTTGTGTGATGTCCTGGTGGGGTAGAAAGTCAGTCAGTCAGTCAGACATCGGGTGTTTATCGCTTGTGTGATGTCCTGGTGGTGGGTAGAAAGTCAGTCAGTCAGTCAGACATCGGGTGTTTATCGCTTGTGTGATGTCCTGGTGGGGTAGAAAGTCAGTCAGTCAGTCAGACATCGGGTGTTTATCGCTTGTGGTGATGTCCTGGTGGGGTAGAAAGTCAGTCAGTCAGTCAGACATCGGGTGTTTATCGCTTGTGTGATGTCCTGGTGGGGTAGAAAGTCAGTCAGTCAGTCAGACATCGGGTGTTTATCGCTTGTGTGATGTCCTGGTGGGGTAGAAAGTCAGTCAGTCAGTCAGACATCGGGTGTTTATCGCTTGTGTGATGTCCTGGTGGGGTAGAAAGTCAGTCAGTCAGTCAGACATCGGGTGTTTATCGCTTGTGTGATGTCCTGGTGGGGTAGAAAGTCAGTCAGTCAGTCAGACATCGGGTGTTTATCGCTTGTGTGATGTCCTGGTGGGGTAGAAAGTCAGTCAGTCAGTCAGACATCGGGTGTTTATCGCTTGTGTGATGTCCTGGTGGGGTAGAAAGTCAGTCAGTCAGTCAGACATCGGGTGTTTATCGCTTGTGTGATGTCCTGGTGGGGTAGAAAGTCAGTCAGTCAGTCAGACATCGGGTGTTTATCGCTTGTGTGATGTCCTGGTGGGGTAGAAAAGTCAGTCAGTCAGTCAGACATCGGGTGTTTATCGCTTGTGTGATGTCCTGGTGGGGTAGAAAGTCAGTCAGTCAGTCAGACATCGGGTGTTTATCGCTTGTGTGATGTCCTGGTGGGGTAGAAAGTCAGTCAGTCAGTCAGACATCGGGTGTTTATCGCTTGTGTGATGTCCTGGTGGGGTAGAAAGTCAGTCAGTCAGTCAGACATCGGGTGTTTATCGCTTGTGTGATGTCCTGGTGGGGTAGAAAGTCAGTCAGTCAGTCAGACATCGGGTGTTTATCGCTTGTGTGATGTCCTGGTGGGGTAGAAAGTCAGTCAGTCAGTCAGACATCGGGTGTTTATCGCTTGTGTGATGTCCTGGTGGGGTAGAAAGTCAGTCAGTCAGTCAGACATCGGGTGTTTATCGCTTGTGTGATGTCCTGGTGGGGTAGAAAGTCAGTCAGTCAGTCAGACATCGGGTGTTTATCGCTTGTGTGATGTCCTGGTGGGGTAGAAAGTCAGTCAGTCAGTCAGACATCGGGTGTTTATCGCTTGTGTGATGTCCTGGTGGGGTAGAAAGTCAGTCAGTCAGTCAGACATCGGGTGTTTTATCGCTTGTGTGATGTCCTGGTGGGGTAGAAAGTCAGTCAGTCAGTCAGACATCGGGTGTTTATCGCTTGTGTGATGTCCTGGTGGGGTAGAAAGTCAGTCAGTCAGTCAGACATCGGGTGTTATCGCTTGTGTGATGTCCTGGTGGGGTAGAAAGTCAGTCAGTCAGTCAGACATCGGGTGTTTATCGCTTGTGTGATGTCCTGGTGGGGTAGAAAGTCAGTCAGTCAGTCAGACATCGGGTGTTTATCGCTTGTGTGATGTCCTGGTGGGGTAGAAAGTCAGTCAGTCAGTCAGACATCGGGTGTTTATCGCTTGTGTGATGTCCTGGTGGGGGTAGAAAGTCAGTCAGTCAGTCAGACATCTGGGTGTTTATCGCTTGTGTGATGTCCTGGTGGGGTAGAAAGTCAGTCAGACATCGGTTTTTATCGCTTGTGTGATGTCCTGGTGGGGTAGAAAGTCAGTCAGTCAGTCAGACATCGGGTGTTTATCGCTTGTGTGATGTCCTGGTGGGGGTAGAAAGTCAGTCAGTCAGTCAGACATCGGGTGGTTTATCGCTTGTGTGATGTCCTGGTGGGGTAGAAAGTCAGTCAGTCAGTCAGACATCGGGTGTTTATCGCTTGTGTGATGTCCTGGTGGGGTAGAAAGTCAGTCAGTCAGAGACATCGGGTGTTTATCGCTTGTGTGATGTCCTGGTGGTTGGGTAGAAAGTCAGTCAGTCAGTCAGACATCGGGTGTTTATCGCTTGTGTGATGTCCTGGTGGGGTAGAAAGTCAGTCAGTCAGTCAGACATCGGGTGTTTTATCGCTTGTGTGATGTCCCTGGTGGGGTAGAAAGTCAGTCAGTCAGTCAGACATCGGGTGTTTATCGCTTGTGTGATGTCCTGGTGGGGTAGAAAGTCAGTCAGTCAGTCAGACATCGGGTGTTTATCGCTTGTGTGATGTCCTGGTGGGGTAGAAAGTCAGTCAGTCAGTCAGACATCGGGTGTTTATCGCTTGTGTGATGTCCTGGTGGGGTAGAAAGTCAGTCAGTCAGTCAGTTCAGACATCGGGTGTTTATCGCTTGTGTGATGTCCTGGTGGGTAGTAGAAAGTCAGTCAGTCAGTCAGACATCGGGTGTTTATCGCTTGTGTGATGTCCTGGTGGGGTAGAAAGTCAGTCAGTCAGTCAGTCAGTCAGTCAGTCAGTCAGTCAGTCAGTCAGTCAGTCAGTCAGTTGTAGAGGCTAACGTGCTGGGCAGTTAATGCAGCATTTAAAAAAAAATATATATTAAATTAAAATATTCATCTAGTGCCATATACAGGATGCTACACTGCGTCAGAAGAGGGCTTGACTGTTGAGTTCAAATATGCTGATTTTCCTGATGATTTTGTTCTGCATGTACAAACAATAATGACATGCAAAGAAAAACAGATGATGCAGCAAATTTAGCATCAACAGCTGACTGCGAGTAAGTCATGCAAAGACAAATATATTGAAAACACCAATAACATCAAGCAGATGTAACACTAGAGATATAAGAATCAAAATGACAGATCCAATTACTTCTCTAGGTAGTATATATACTGAGAGTGAAGTCGGTGGCTGTGGCTTGGGCGTTGCGAAGGCGCTTCGTAATGCCGGAGTGCGGGGTTCGATCTCAGCTGCGGACCTTGCTCCTTGCGTTGATATCAGCAGTGTTATCGAGACGCCGACCGTCCAGCAGGCAATATCAAACTCATCATCAACATGTGCCCTGCCAACTGGCGTAGGTGCTCATGCGTCTCCACAGATCACGATCCCTGGTTGCCTGGAACAGCTCTCTTGATATCCCTACATTACAGCTTTTCAGCCCATACAGCATCGTGTCTCTTGGTCTGCCTCTACCCCTTTTCCCCCCTGATCTTTCCAGTTGTCACGACGTTCTCCAATGTCTCTTTTCTCATCATGTGGCCAAAGAACAGTGTTTTTCTTTTTCTTATTGTTGTATATAGAGATCTTCTTTCATTACCTTCTTTCAAGCAATCTGTGTAAGTTACTCTGGCCATCCAAGGTATTCGTAACATTCGTCTCAAAAACAACATCTCTGTTTGCTTCCAAATTTCTCTTAATTTGTTAAGTGACATTCCAAGATTCGCTGCCATTTAGCACACTCTTTCTCACTTTAAATGAGAGCGATTTATTGCATAAGATATTTTTCATTTTCTGAATTGCAGCTTTCGCTTGACCTATTCTGCTTTTAATCTCTCTCACACATTTTCCATCTGATGATATTATTGTTCCCAGATATTTGAATCCATCCCCACAATATTCAGCAGTGGTTGTAAAACAGTTGCATTTTCAGCTATCAAAACTGTATCGTCTGCATAGCGCAAATTGTTTATATTGTATCTTCTAACTCTTACTCCTGCATTCTCTTTAATTTCCCTCAAAGTTATTTCACCATGGAGAAAAGGTATGGGAATAATACACATTCCTGTCTTATTCCTTGCTTTACACGTTGAGCAAATTTGCAAATTCACTAGACTTGTTAAATCGAAAAGGAAGCTGATTTTGCCTTCACCTTGTTTGTTGTCTTGTTCAATGTCCAGATTTGTTTAAAACTGCAACCCTCCAGTGGATTAGTGATGAGAAAAGGATCTATGGCCAGAAGGTAAGGTAGGCTTGGGCAGAAGAGACTCTGGCAGCCAGTCTTGTATTGCGCATCACTGCTGCCTTATGACTTTTTAGCAATATTCGCATCCTGAAGTATCTAATTCACAAAGATGGGGATATGGTTGTCCCACTTTGCCTAATAAACTCTGGCTAAACTGGTCAACCAGACTGTTAATTATAATCTAGCTACTTCTTGTAAAGTTACTGAACTGGTTTAAAAAATATTCGATGAGGAAAAATGGCCACCACACCTCGAATGTTGTGGCCTAGAATATGTGAAGATTTAAGGATTTACCTCTGCTGGCATTATTTACTATAGAACTACCTTTACCGTTATACTACCTTATACGTGGGGTTCGTTCTATAGGTGGATGTTCGTAAATAAAGTCAGTCACACCCCTTGCCAG